GCGGTATGTCTTAATACCGGAGATGACTCATATCCTCAGATATGACTTTATAAATATGACTTATATTTTACAAAGTAATTATTTTTTTATTATATTTTCTTGATAGTTTTATAATAATAAAATGATTTTACATGCAAAATATCGTTAAATTTGGTCCATAAATAAAAAAGTTATAAGTTATATTCGAAATACGTTCTATAAAAGTCATATCCGTAGCGGACAGAAGATACCAAATATGACTTATATTTTATAAATTGATTATTTTTTTTATTAACTTTTCTTGATACGGTGTTTTATAATAATAAAATGATTTTATATTCAATATATCTTTTAATTTGGTTCATAAATAAAAAAGTACTTACATAAATAACCACAAACTAGAGAAGGGATTTTCTGTGTGTCACGCAGTTACATGTACTGCATGTGCGTGGAAATAACTTATTATAGAACATAGCAAATGGAGGTGTGGAAACTGGATAAAAAATAATGTTTGTTCAATTAATGAATTTTTGTAAATCATTTATATGGTCACACGTTTACAATTGATTCCAATTATTTTAAATACCGGGTATTGAATACCAACCATAGGTGCTTGAAGCAAACTTTTTTATGTTCTATATGGGCTATATATACTGAGTATATACTATAATCTTAATATACATAATTATATATAATATAGGCCGATTATGTAAACTATTTGATAAAGTGACTAGCCCCTGTGATGCCAAATGTTTTCAAACATTTTTTTTCCAAAATGAAAATCACACCAAATTACCTCCCTGTGTCTCTAACAAATACTGCCGAATTTCGTTGTAATCTCGCACGTCTGCTAAGTGGGTGTTAACCCTTTCCCCATGAGCATATTGTGAAAAATGGCCAGTTTCACTGAAAAGCCTCCTCTTACAAGTCCAAACTGCTATGAAACTATGAAAAATGCTTCAATACTAATCAAACTTGGCACAAATGTTGACTGGAATTGCCTTTGTAACGACATGCTCAGTCTTAAATTTACTGTTACCATGGCAACGAGGGGACATCTCAAAATTGCCAAAAATCACTATTTTGCCTCGATTTTTTCCATCAAAATTTATTTCAAAGTGCTGCAACTTCTCAAGGGATTGAGATAGAGTCAAAGGCTTTTCAGCGTTGGTTACACGTTACCTTATGATCGACCTGGGGCCATTTTAAGCCTCTCACAAGTCCAAAATTTTCTTGGCGATAAGGGGGACTTCGCCCCCTTCAAACCCCCCAAACAGAAGGGGGTACATCCCCCTTCTGGCAACCCCCTGGTGTATTTTTTGGATGCGGGCGGCGCCGAAAAAGTGGTCCCTTTTTGAGCAACATTTCTCAAACAAAAACATGTTTTCGGCCCAAATAGGACATTTTTTCACTATTTCAGGCCTAAAAAAGGGGAGTGGGGGGTCGAAAGTGCGTTGTTTCGCGTATATATGAGGTAAAGGGTTAAGACCCCTCAATTCAGATTTTACAAGAAAATTTGTGTCAGTGTTTCTTTGTATGAATTAAATTATGATTATAAAATGTTAAACTATAATAATTATTCAGGTTGTAAACACTATAATTTGCTTATTAAACCCCGGTATATTTTGAACGGCAAGGACGGGATTTAACCTAATCCGTAACCTCATAATTGCAACAACAACACTGAAATTAGAATGGAAAATGCTTTAAACTTTATAGTTACTAGTCATTAGTTGTCTTTTATAGTTATATGATAAAAGAAATAAACAAATTGTTCAGTTTTCATAGTTTATTAGTCCCCTACCGGTTTACCGGAGGGGACTTTAGGTTTACCGTCCGTCTGTCCGTCCGTCCGTCCGTCTGTCTGTCAGTCCGCACTCACAGGACAGTAATTATGTGGCTAGAGGGACAATAGGTAACTGTTCTTTCTCTTTGATGTCATTCATTCCGTAATGCTTTTATGTGGCTATTTTCTTTTGTGTGGCTAAAAAGAACAATAGAGAGAACAATAGAGTAGCCACATTATTACTCTCCTGTTAGAACGTCCGTCAGTCCGTCCATCCGCAAAACTGGATCCCGCGATAACTTGAAAAGTACTGAAAATATTTTTATGAAACTTGGTATATGGATAGATGGCAGTATGGAGATTATGCACGTCATTTTCTTTTCTTCCTATGTTGAAAATTCTGGTTGCTATGGCAACAAATAGGCTGAAAATATGGCAAATGTTACACATAAACTGGATCCAGTGATAACACAAAAAGTACTGGAAATATTTTTATGAAACTTTACATATGGGTAGATGGCAGTCTTGAGATTATGCACGTCTTTTTCTTTTCTTCCTATGTTGAAAATTCTGGTTGCTATGGCAACAAATTGTCCATCCGCAAAACTGGATCCCGCGATAACTTGAAAAGTACTGAAAATATTTTTATGAAACTTGGTATATGGATAAATGGCAGTATGGAGATTATGCACGTCATTTTCTTTTCTTCCTATGTTTAAAATTCTGGTTGCTATGGCAATCATAATAAGATAGACTGAAAATATGGCAAATTTAACACATAAACTGGATCCAGTGATAACGCAAAAGGTACTGAAAATATTTTTATGAAACTTGATAATTTATGGGTAGATGACAGTCTTGAGATTATGCACATGTTTTTCTTTTCTTCCTATGTTGAAAATTCTGGTTGCTATGGCAACACATAGACTGAAAATATGGCAAATTTTTTTACACATAAACTGAATCCAGTGATAACTCGAAAAGTACTGGAAATATTTTTATGAAACTTGACATATGGGTAGATAGTAGTTTTGAGATTATGCATGCCTTATCTGTTCTTCCTATTTTGAAAAAATATCAGTTGCCTTGGCAACAAATAGGCTTAAAACATGGCAAATATAACAATATTTGTGATTAGTCAAAAAGAGCTGAACATTTTTATGAAATTGCATCTTTAATTCAAGAGTTATCTCCTCTTAAAGAATTTTGCTTTTAAAATGGTATATTTTGGTAACAGGGATGTTTCAAATATTAACTTAAGAGTGTCTTTCAGTCCGTCTGTCTGTCTGTTCATAAAAACTGTATCCTGTGATCACTTTTAAAGAACTTTTCCAACAAATTTTCTTAAAATAGAGAAAAATTGAAACATTAGTGAATGGCCAATGGCCCTTTAGAATGTTGATGGGGTTCTAACCGGTAGGGGACTTATGGATTGCTTGCAATACTATGATAATTGCTTGTTTATCTATAATCCTGATCGATGACACCACTAGTTTTTATACCCCCACAAACGAAGTTTAGGGGGGGTATATAGGAGTCAGCTTGTCGGTCGGTCCGTCGGTCGGTCCACATCATGGTTTCCGGACGATAACTAGAGTTTGGAGTGAGGTATTGTAATCAAACTTGGTATATAGCAACCTTATGTGGAAACCCTGGTTGGTATTGCATTTGGACCCCCTGGGGCCAAGGTCAAGGTCACCGTTACTAAAAATAGAAAAATGGTTTCCGGACAATAACTAAAGTTAGGAATGAGATATTGTAATCAAACTTGGTATATAGCAAGCTTACATGAATACCCCGGTTGGTATTGCATGTGGACCCCCTGGGGCCAAGGTCAAGGTCACCATTACTAAAAATAGAAAAAATGGTTTCCAAACAATAACTTAAGTTAGGAATGAGCTATTGTTATCAAAGTTGGTATATAGCAAGCTTACATGAAGACCCCAGTTGGTATTGCATGTGGACCCCCTGGGGCCAAAGTCAAGGTCACTGTTACTGAAAATAGAAAAATGGTTTCCGGACAATAACTTAAGTTGAGGAATGAGATATTGTAATCAAACTTGGTATATAGCAAGCTTACATGAATACCCCAGTTGGTATTGCATCTGGACCCCCTCGGGCCAAGGTCAAGGTCACCATTACTAAAAATAGAAAAATGGTTTCCGGACAATAACTAAAGTTAGGAATGAGATATTGTAATCAAACATAGTATATAGCAAGCTTTCATGAATACCTCATTTGGTATTGCATGTGGACCCCCTGGGGCCAAGGTCAAGGTCACCGTTACTAAAAATAGAAAAATGGTTTCTGGACAATTTCTAGGGTTAGGAATGAGATATTGTCATCAAACTCTGTATTTAGCAAGCTAACATGAATACCCCGGTTGGTATTGCATCTGGACCCCCTGGGGCCAAGGTCAAGGTCACCGTTACTAAAAATAGAAAAAATGGTTTCCGGACAATAACTAAAGTTAGGAATGAGATATTGTAATCAAACTTGGTATATAGCAAGCTTACATGAATACCCTGGTTGGTATTGCATGTGGACCCCCTGGGGTCAAGGTCACTGTTACTAAAAATAGAAAAATGGTTTCCGGACAATAACTTAAGTTAGGAATGAGATATTGTAATCAAACTTGGTATATAGCAAGCTTACATGAATACCCTGGTTGGTATTGCATGTGGACCCCCTGGGGTCAAGGTCACCATAACTAAAATAGAAAAATGGTTTCCGGACAATAACTTAAGTTAGGAATGAGATATTGTAATCAAACTTGGTATATAGCAAGCTTACATGAAGACCCTGGTTGGTATTGCATGTGGACCCCCTGGGGCCAAGGTCAAGGTCACCGTTACTAAAAATAGAAAAATGGTCTCCGGACAATTTCTAGGGTTAGGAATGAGATATTGTAATCAAACTTGGTGTATAGCAAGCTTATATCAAGATCCTGGTTGGGATTGCAATAAATTATAATAATTCTTTGTACACAGTGCTGTTGATACTTTATATTCTGTAGGTTGAGTTCAAATTTTTCTTCAGACCACTAATTTTTCAAGAGTCAAAAGTTGCTGGTGGGGGTATTAATCACCTTCAGTGATAGGTCTAGTTTTGTCTTTTTTGGAACACTTATCATAATTATTATTTACCCAGTATTTTTGACTTTGAATTGCAATCCAAGACCATAATTACTTATTTATATAAAATCTAACATAATCTTTTTGTTTGATTTGTTTAGATATTGATAGAGTGTCAGGATGGCACATCAACTTCAGTTAGAGAAGGAAAAATACAGACAGTGGGTAAAGGCTGGTTTAGGACTTGGATATTTAAAGGAGGGACTGGTACCATTCTGTAATGACATAGCTGACCAACAACATAAGGATATTTTACAAAACATTCGGTCTACAAAGTCACTACCATCAACTGTGACATGTGGGGGCTGTCAAGTTGAAACTCTCAAGCCAGACCATAAGCCAGTACCTGGGAATGCTGGAAACAAAATCTGTCCTCTTGGGCAAGTAAAATGCAGCTGTTGCTTTAAGGGAAAAATTGCTTGTCCGAACAACATATGTGGCGCCATCTATGACTTTATTGTGCAGCATCATGCCTCCACGCCACCTGCACCTAACTGGAAAAACAGCGATGCTCTACAGTGGGTGACAGATCCTTGGAGCATTTGTAAGTGTTTTATAAATGCTCCAGGGTACGAGCAGAAACAATCTGCTGGTGAAACTGATTGCACTGGGCTATTACATCTAATGATAAATAACCAGTATTTTCATAGCCACATTGGATGTGATGTCACAGTAACAAACAATCTTTTTACAAAGGTAAATTATTAATAAAGTGTCTTGTTTATCTTTTATTAGCTGTATTGTAATGTAAATGCTGTATATTCAGCATCCAAAGTAAAATTGAAAATGAAAATCTAAAGATTCACAACAAAAGTATACAAATTTACCAGTCTTCTTCAATGGTTTCAAAGGTACCACCTTTTGTACTTGGTGTGGAGGTTCTGAAAATTGCCGATATGTTTTAATTTCTGATCAGTTTCAATAAGATTTATTAAGCTTTGTTAAAAGAATTTGAACATCTTGAATGCTGGCATATTTTCCGAAATGATAAATTTCATAATTATTTTTTATACTCGCCGAAAAATTTCGGGGGAGCACATAGTCGCCGGGTTGTCCGTCCGTCAGTCTGCACTCACAGGACAGTTATTATATGGCTAGAGTAACAATAGGTAACTGTTCTTCCTCTTTGATGTCATTATACCCCCACAAACGAAGTTTAGGGGGGGTTTATAGGAGTCAGCTTGTCGGCCGGTTGGTCATTCCGTCGGTCCGTCGGTCGGTCCACATCATGGTTTCCAGACGATGACTAGAGTTTGGAGTGAGGTATTGTAATCAAACTTGGTATATAGCAACCTTATGTGGAAACCCCGGTTGGTATTGCATTTGGACCCCCTGGGGCCAAGGTCAAGGTCACCGTTACTAAAAATAGAAAAATGGTTTCCGGACAATAACTAAAGTTAGGAATGAGATATTGTAATCAAACTTAGTATATAGCAAGCTTATATGAAGACCCCGGTTGGTATTGCATCTGGACCCCCTGGGGGCAAGGTCAAGGTCACCATTACTATAAATAGAAAAATGGTTTCCAGACAATAACTAAAGTTAGGAATAAGATATTGTAATCAAACTTGGTGTACAGCAAGCTTATATGAAGACCCCGGTTGGTATTGCATCTGGAACCCCTGGGGCCAAGGTCAAGGTCACCGTTACTAAAAATAGAAAAATGGTTTCCGGACAATAACTAAAGTTAGGAATGAGATATTGTAATCAAACTTGGTGTTTAGCAAGCTTACATGAAGACCGCGCTTGGTATTGCATTTGGACTCCCTGGGTTCAAGGTCACAGTTACTAAAAATAGAAAAATGGTTTCCAGACAATTACTAGGGTTAGGAATGAGATATTGTTATCAAACTTGGTGTATTAACAAGCTTATATCAAGATCCTAGTTGGGATTGCAATAAATTGAAATAATTCTTTGTACATAGTGCTGATGGTACTTTATTTTCTGTAGGTTTATTTCAAATTTTTCTTCAGACAACTTATTTTTTCAAAAGTCAAAGTTGCTTGTGGGGTATTTATCACCTTCAGTGATAGGTCTAGTTCATTCCGTAATGCTTTTATGTTGCTATTTTCTTTTGTGTGGCTAAAAAGAACAATAGAGAGAACAATAGAGTAGCCACATAATTACTTTGAGAATATCCGTCAGTCCGCATGTCAGTCCGAGCAAACATTTGATTAGAGCTTCATTACGTAGTTAAATAAAGAACAAAAACTCATAAAATTCAAATTAAGAACTATTTTTTTGTTTTTATGAGCTTATTTTGCTTATGGACTTTGGTCCAGGTGGTGTTTATGAGCTGGTTTGCCTCATAAACATCAAAAGTAACAATGGTATGTCCGTCCGGACGTACATACGTCCCAAATTCATGTCCACCCAATAACTTTGTTATTTGAAGTCGGATTTTACAACAATTTCACAGAAATGATCACCATATTGAGACCATGTGTCACACACAACATTTGGGTCGCTACCCTGAAGGTCAAGGTCACAGCATGACCTTGCAGCAAAATCGTGTCCGGCCCATAACTTCGTTACTTGAAGTCGAATTTAACGACTATTTCACAGAGATGATCACCATATTGAATCAACGTTTCGCATGTAACATTTGGGTCACTACCTTGAAAGTCAAGGTCACAGCATGTCCTTGCAGCAAAATCGTGTCTGGCGCATAACTTTGTTCTTTGAAGACAGATTTTAAAACTTTTTCACAGAAATGATCACCATATTGAGATGATGTGTCGTGAGCATCATTTGGGTGGTTACCTTGAAGGTGAATGTCACAGCATGACCTTGCAGGAAAATCCTGTCCAGCCCATAACTTCGTTATTTTAAGTCTGATTTAACAACTATTTAACAGAAATGATCACCATATTTAGACGACGTGTCATGCGCAACATTTGGGCGCTACCTTGAAGGTGAAGGTCACAGCATGACCTTGCAGCAAAATCGTGTCCGGCCCATAACTTCGTTATTTGGAGTCGGATTTTAAAATTATTTCACAGAAATGATCATAATATTGAGACGATAAGTCTCACACAATGTTTGGATCACTACCTTGAAGGTAAAGGTCACAGCATGACCTTGCAGGAAAATTGTGTCCGGCCCATAACTTCATTTTTTTAAGTCCGATTTTACAACTATTTCACAGAAATGATCTCCATATTGAGATAGTGTGCCGTGCGCAACATTTTGGTAACTACCTTGAAGTTCAAGGTCACAGCATGGCCTTGCAGCAAAATATTGTCCGGCCCATAACTTCGTTACTTGAAGTCGAATTTAAGGACTATTTCACAGAGATGATCACCATATTGAATCAACGTTTCGCATGTAACATTTGGGTCGCTACCTTGAAAGTCAAGGTCACAGCATGTCCTTGCAGCAAAATCGTGTCTGGGGCATAACTTTGTTCTTTGAAGTCAGATTTTAAAACTATTTCACAGAAATGATCACTATATTGAGATAATGTGTCGTGGGCATCATTTGGGTGGTTACCTTGAAGGTGAATGTCACAGCATGACCTTGCAGGAAAATCCTGTCCAGCCCATAACTTCGTTATTTGAAGTCTGATTTTACAAAGTTCTATTTTACAGAAATGATCACCATATTTAGACGACGTGTCATGCGCAACATTTGGGCGCTACCTTGAAGGTGAAGCTCACAGCATGACCTTGCAGCAAAATCATGTACAGCCCATAACTTTGTTATTTGAAGTCGGATTTTCCAACTTTTTCACAGAAATGATCGCCATATTGAGACAATGTGTCATGCGCAATATTTGGGTTGTTTTTACACTTTGAACTTTGTCTGTAAAATAACTCTGACACTACAAGAGGTATACCTTTCTGTGTCCAAAACCTATTTGGGGAGCATCACCCGGTTCAACTGGCTCTTGTTCGAATAGAAAATTAAGACACAATTATCCCAAATTTGCTATGTGACATTTTTGTAAAATATATGAAAAATGCCTGTATAATTCATGATAGCATCTTATATGTAGGTAAGTACCCAAACAATTTTTTACAAAACAATTTTGATTTACTCATCACTGTATATTTATGCATATAATAATGTTGAAACTGTGTTTTTTATTCAATAGGTTCGTCACTATAGAAATGCTATCTTTCACTCAAGCAGCATGGAATTAGAAGAAAGTGAGGCAAATACTTACTTAGACGATATGATAGCAGTTTTACAAGATGGTAAAGAGCTATTACACCGATCAGATGCCCAGATAGCAGTGAAGAAACTTCAAGATGTAAGTGTAAATAATGAATTATATCAGTTTGAAATCTTTATTGAGTCAACTTATAATGATTTAAGAAAACAGCCCACTAAATTCAGGACAAAATTTTGGGAACAGAATTTGAAGCAATATAATTTTGAAGTTATAGTCAAATTCAAAATGATACTTCCCATAAGTTGATTGATAAAGACACATAAAATACATATATACCTATCAAAAGTTAAACTATAATGATAAAGATTTTAGTTTGCAATGTTCAGGGTCCCGAAATTCTTTATAATTCTTACCTCTGAAATTGAGGAATTCTAAGTTCTGATATTGTGGAAAAGTTTGGATTATATCAAAAAAAAAATTAACTTTAAATATCTGAAAATTGAAAAAGCGTATGAAGGATATTTTACTTGAGATAATAAAACCTGCAATATGTTTGTATATGATAGTATCTCTAATTATCTGTGACCCACATATATCTTGACCCCTATTAGAACCTCAACATGTCATGCATGTCCAACCCTTAAGTGTGAAATTAAGAAAGTGAGAAATATTAAGAATTCTGAAAACTTCTAAAACTCTTCATTTTTTGGCTAACCCCATAGGCTACAATGAAACAGATAAGAAAAAGGTGAGAAAATAGTAATGTCTTAGAATCAGATAAGTACATAGGTTAGTGTATACTGCCTTAAAAAGGGATTTAAGAACAAAGTATGAGAGTTTAAATAATAGAACAATTGGGATAATTTGAAATAAAGTTTGACCTTATATATTATATGTTGTATAGAAGAGTCAATATTATAAATTACATAACTGCATTTTTTATAATAGAAAATATAACAAAACTGTTTTCTTTTTATCAGCTGAAGAACAAAGATTTTATTATTACGACTGAAAGTTTTGAAGAGATTCTTAGGCAAATCAAAGAAGAAATGGCAAAAGTTTTGAAATCAACAGAAAGTGCTGCAACTAAAGAAGAATATGATGATCTGAAGAAGAAGCTAATAGATCTTGAAGCTAAAATGTCTGATGAAAAGAAGGGGAAACTGGAAAATGAAAAAGAACTTGCAGAACTAAAGAAAACTAGTTCTGCCCTGAAGAAGAAGCTATTAGAACTTGAAGCTAAGATGTCCAGAGAAAATGACGAAAAACTTGAGAATGCAGAATTGAAAAAGAAACTTGGCGTCTTGGAGACTCTTGTTTCAGAACAGAAAAAGGTAAAACAAATTTCCTTCTGCTTATTTTCTAAATGATGTATGTCACTGTTTAAACCGAAAGTTCTGTCATAGATAACGGTAACAGCCGAGCGCTCCCACTGATAATAATATCGGGGACACGTGGGTGCTCACTAATGATTGGTTGGTATTTTAAATGCCGACATTAACTAGCCAATTAACTGACACGTTACTTTAAATACCAGTTTGTGTTTCCCATGACCTTCACCTTTAGATATCGTAAAATACGGAAAGGAGAGTTCCTCTAAACAATTTTTATGTATTTATTTTAAAATATATAAATGACAGTTACTTTAGACAATTTTTCAGTGTCCATGTGTACGCAGAATTTATTTTTTGTGGGTACAGAATGGCATTTTATGCGTATATGACGCAGGATCCTGCGTCCGGTATATCCCTGCATAATAAAAGGTTAAATGTTAGCTCTCATGGTGAAGGTCATACTTAAAGGTTTAATGTTAGCGCTAATGGCTCATGGTGAAGGTCATACATGAACATAATTATATGTAAATTCAAACAAATTTGAATTATGTAAAGTATAATACTGTTTTCTCTGAAATCAATTTTGTGTGTACATGTGTTTTCAGCTGAAAGTTTATGCAAACTTTTAAAATGCTTTGATGTTAAACAATATCTCGGGGGTAAATGTATAAACCGCCTGCGACAGTAAAGCCGTGATAATCGCACGCATGGTTTAATATTTAACCAAACATACATATGTACTTAAAGGTTAGATGTTAGCTCTTATGGCTCATTGTGAAAGTCAAACTGAAAGGTTAAATGTTAGCTCTAATAACTCATGCTGAAGGTCATGCTTAAAGGTTAAATGTTAGCTGTAATGGCTCATGGTGTAGGTCATAATTAAAGGTTGAATATTAGCTCTAATGGCTCATGGTGAGGGTCATAATTAAAACTTAAATATTAGCTGTAATGACTCATGCTGAAGGTCATACTCAAAGGTTTAATGTTAGCTCTAATGGCTTATGCTGAAGGTCATACTCAAAAGTTAAATGTTAGCTCTAATGGCTTATGCTGAAGGTCATACTCAAAGGTTTAATGTTAGCTCTAATGGCTTATGGTGAAGGTCATACTTAAAGGTTAAATGTTAGCTGTAATGGCTCATGGTAAAGGTCATACTCAAAGGTTTAATGTTAGCTCTAATGGCTTATGCTGAAGGTCATACTCAAAGGTTTAATGTTAGCTGTAATGGCTTATGGTGAAGGTCATACTCAAAGGTTTAATGTTAGCTCTAATGGCTCATGGTGAAGGTAATACTGAAAAGTTAAATATTAGCTCTAACGTCTCATGGTGAAGGTCATACTCAAAGGTTTAATGTTAGCTCTAATGGCTTATGGTGAAGGTCATACTGAAAGGTGAAATGTTAGCTCTAATGGCTCACGGTGAAAGTGATACTCAAAGGTTAAATGTTAGCTCTAATGGCTCATGGTGAAGGTCATACTTAAAGGTTAAATGTTAGCTCTAATGACTCATTGTGAAAGTGATACTTAAAGGTTAAATGTTAGCTCTAATGGCTCATGGTGAAGGTCATAATTAAAGGTTAAATGTTAGCTGTAATGGCTCATGATCAAGGCCATAATAAAGGTTAAATGTTAGCTCTAATGACTCATGGTGAAAGTGATACTTAAAGGTTAAATGTTAGCTCTAATGACTCATGGTGAAAGTGATACTTAAAGGTAAAATGTTAGCTCTAATGGCTCATGGTGATGGTCATAATTAAAGCTTAGATACTAGCTGTAATGACTCATGCTGAAGGTCATACTCAAAGGTTTAATGTAAGCTCTAATGGTGAAGGTCATACTTAAAGGTTAAATATTTGCTCTCATAAATCATGCTGAAGGTCGTACTTTAACGTTAAATGTTAGATCTAATGGCTCATATTGAAAGTATACTTAAAGGTAAAATGGTAACTCTAATGGCTCATGGTGAAGGTTATTATTAAAGGTTAAATATTAATTCTAATGGCTCATGGTGAAGGTCACATTGAAAGGCTAAATGTTAGCTCTTATGGCTCATGTTGAAGGTCAAACCTTAAGGTTAAATGATAGTCCTAACAGTTTGTGCTGAAGGTCATAATGAAAGGTTAAATGTTAGCTCTAATTGCTCATGGTGAAGGTTACACTTAAAGGTTAAATATAAGGTCTAATGGCTCATTTTGAAGGTAATACTGAAAGGTTTAATGTAAGCTCTAATGGATCATGGTGAAGGTCATGCTAAAAGGTTAAATTTCAGCTCTAATGGCACATGGTGAAAGTCTTTATTAATGGTTAAATGTGAGCACTGACGGTTCATGGTAAAGTCATACTTAAAGGTTACATGTTAGCTCTTATGGCTCATGTTGAAGGTCATATTTTATGGTTAAATGTTAGCTCTAATGACTCAAGCTGAAGGTCATAACTTAAGGTTAAATGTTAGCTCTAATGACTCAAGCTGAAGGTCATAACTTAAGGTTAAATGTTAGCTCTAATGGCTCAAGCTGAAGGTCATAACTTAAGGTTAAATGTTAGCTCTAATGGCTCATGTTGAAGGTCATACTTAAATGTTATATGTAAGTTCTAATGGCTCATGGTAAAGTTCACAATTAAAGGTTAAATGTTAGATCTTATAGCTCATGGTGAAGGTTATACTTAAAGGTTTAATGTTAGCTCTAATGGCTGATGTTGAAGGTCATAATTAAAGGTTAAATTTTAGTTCTAATGGTTCATGGTAAAGGTCATACGTAAAGGTTAAATGTTAGCTCTAATGGCTCATGGTGAGGATCATAATTAAAGGTTTAATGTTAGCTGTAATGGCTTATGGTGAAGGTCATACTTAAAGGTTTAATGTTAGCTGTAATTGCTCATGATGAAGATCATACTTAAAGGTTTAATGTTAGCTCTAATGGCTCATGTTAAAGGTCATAATTAAATGTATAATGTTAGCTGTAATTGCTCATGGTGAAGGTCATACTTATGGTTAAATGTTCGCTGTAATGTTGATAATTTGGCTTCAAATTTTTACCACTCAGAAATGCAAGTGTTAACAAAATTATTATTTCAGGATTTAAATTCTGAGCTAATGACCTACTAAGCATAAGTGATAAAATGGGGCAATTATGGTGGTTATTATGTTAACGTACATAGCTACACGTAAAGTATCAAGTATATACCGCCTCCGTGGTCGTGGGGTTAGAGTCGATGACTTCTAATCCAGTTACCTCTCTGGCGTGGGTTCGATCCCCCGGAGATGCTTTGGTAGTTTAGCGCGGAGGAAGGTAGTCTAGTACTGGTGTAACTCTCCAGGAACGATGGTTAGGAAACTACCCGCCTATATGACTATAATACTGTTGGAAAAAGGCGTAAGATGAAACAAACAAACAAACAAACAAACTATTTTGTACATACTCCTATGAATTTTAATTCAACTTCTTAATAATAAATTGTTGATTATTTTTGTACTATAATTATTGGAGTAAATAAGATACGTTGTTTTTGCAGGAGATAGCAAAAATAAAGTCGGAAACTTCTTCAGGTCAAAGTCAAAATTATGAGCAAACCAAGTTAGGTGAGTAAATATTTGTGTTGAACTTGATAGTGTACACACCTTGACATGTTTATTTCTACAGATCTAATTGATGGATAATTACCAAACTTTGTCAGTAGCATTGTTGGGTAGTCTTTTATCAAGTTTGCTCATATTAATTTGATTGGCCCCTTTTAGGGGCCTGTATAGCTAAAAATAGAAAAAAACCTTTAGATATCTTCTTCTACAGAACTAACTGATGGATAATCACCAAACTTTGTCTGTAGCATTCTTGGTACTTTTTATCAAGTTTGCTCATATGAATTTGATTGGCCCTGTTTGGGGGCCGCTAAAATTAAAAATAGAAATATGTTTAAATGTCTATGGCTTCAGAACTAATTGATGGATGATCACCAAACTTTGTTTGTAGCATTGTTGGGTAGTCATTTATCAAGTTTGCTCATATTATTTTGATTGGCCCCTTATAGGGGCTGCTAAAATTAAAAATAGAAATATGTTTAAACGTCTATTGCTACAGAACTAATTGATGGATTATCACCAAACTTTGTCTGTAGCAATATTCAATTGGGTAGTCTTTTATCAAGTTTGCTCATATTAATTTGATTGCTCCCTTTAAGGGGCCGATAATATTAAAAATAGAAATAATTTTAAACATCTTCTTCTACAGAACTAATTGATGGATGATCACCAAACTTTGTTTGTAGCATTTTTGGGTAATCATTTATCAAGTTTGCTCACATTAATTTGATTGGCCCCTTTTCGGGGCCACTCGAGCTTAAAATAGAAAAACCTTTAAACATCTACTTTAAAACCAATTGATGGATGATCACCAAACTTTGTCTGTAGCATTCTTAGTTAGTCTTTTATCAAAGTTGCTCATATTAATTTGATTAGCCCCGTTTAAGCTAAAGCTTAAATGCCCAAGGTCATGGCATTTCTTCAAATTATTGTTTAAACTTATTCTATGCTTAAATTTAATATTAGGAAATATTAACATTCCAACACTGAAAAGCAGTTGTTTCTGGTGAGCGACTCAGGGCCATCATGGCTCTCTTGTTTCTTTTTTTCATAACTGAACACTTCCATGTACCCATTTATCGCAAGTTTCTATAACAAAATAACCAATAATGTGAGTCAAGGGCTTGAAAGGACAGCATATGTGTCGTTCAACATTTCTTGTTTCTATATTTAGTAACAAGTGTAGTCATAATAGTGATATACATGTATTAAAGCCATGACATTATAGTTGATCATTTAACTAATTATGATTATATAACAGCAAACATGTGGTAAGAGCATTCTTCAATTTTTGATCTTTTAATTCTTATAGTCAATTTAGCAACAAAACAGCTCCTAGGTTACTTTTAACCTAATATGTTATAGTTTGCCAAGGGTAATTGTTTTGTTTGTTCATGGTTAATTATAAATCTGTGAGTCACTCATTTGTGTGTTAACAGCTTAATGTTATACTATATTATAATTTTAGAATGGCAGAAAGAGATGATAGCATCATACTGTAAGACTTTGCTAAAAGTACCAGCAATGCCTTTACTACCACGAGGTCAGAAATGTAACTTCAGTGAGATTTATGTTAGGCCCACTATAACAAGAGAAATAAAAGGAGAGAAAGGGGAGACAAAGGAGATTGAGGTCAAGTCAATGTCAGAAATCTTCATAAAGAATGGTGTACCTTTGAAACATATATATGTTCTTGGAGATGCAGGGTCTGGTAAGAGTAGTTTCTGTAAATATTTGGTCAACTGTTGGTGTATTGCACACAGTGATGCACAAAATGTAGATGATAAATTTGAAGGAGTCAAGGAAATGAAGAAATTTGATATCATGTTTTATATCTCCCTAAGACATAATCAAGACATAAACAGTGTCCAGGATATGATTAAAAATCAGTATCATATTGACATTTCAAGCCCAGTTCTCAAAAAGGACTCTGCAAAGATTATAATATTGCTTGATGGCTTAGATGAATGGTCTTCTGAGAGAAAGTCCTACAATCAGTTCCAGACAATGGGTCTCCCAAAACAGGATGTTAATAAAGACTACACAATCGTAACTACATCACGGCCATGGAAAGTTCACACCTTAGGAATAAGTGAGACAGAAATTGAACAAATACTGAATCTGAAAGGGTTTGATTTGAGATGTGAAAGGGAAATGGTAGATAGAACAGTTTCTCAATTAAATTTCAGCAGGCATGCTAGTAAAGATGCCAGGGTTTGTAAACGAAAGCTAACAGAAAAGTCCCTGGAAAGTTTAAAACAGCTACCAATTATGCTGCAGCAACTGATTTGTCTATGGTTTGATGGTAAACTCGATAAAACTTCAAAATGTGCCATTTACACCGGCATGTTAGAACTTTTCTTTACCTGGAATGACATGAAAACTGCAGGAACAAGTACCCGACTCATGGAGGGTGCTCAGAAAGTAGATCTTCCTAAAACCTTAGCTGATAAAAACATATTAAAATTAAACAGCCATCTCATTTATTATGTGTCAAAGTTGGCTTATGAGACACTATTTAATTGTCCGAAGGATAAATCTTTGGCATTTGACATTTCTATGTTTGATGAACTAGAAATATCAGATGAAGTAAGAGAAAATTGCTTGAAACTTGGAATAATTACAGAAGATGAATGTCCAAGTTTATCTGTATCAGAACCACCAAGCTCATTGTTCTCTTTTATTCACAAATCAATGCAAGAATTTCTGGCTGCAGTGAATATTTGCATCAATTTCAATGCAAAAATTGGTTTGTCAGATAGTACAGGAAATGTTGAATTAGCCAAGAAATTTATTAATGAGGTTTTTCAGAAATGTTCAACAGTAAATGACATATTAGAACAGTCAAATGTTATCATTATGCTATGTGGTCTTGAACCTAGATTAGCAACACATGTTTCAAAATACATATATGATACTGTGTCAGAAGACTCTCGTGTTCAGGAATACAGGAGAACAATAAATTATAGGGATTATGATTGTATTACTGATATTCAAAAGCTTATGTTTGACTCAATGGAAGAATTCAATGCAACATGTAGTGTAGGAAGTAATCCTGTATTTTATATAGGAGATTTGGTCATTAAAAGATGGGGTCAGTATTGTGATATTGTTTGTTCAAGTATTGACCAGCATCAAATTGTTCCTGAATCTGTTCTCTCTATTTCTGAAGATAACATCAACACAAAAAATGATAAATTTACAAAATATTTACCAATGTTTCATCATCTTGAAAAAATTGAAAGAACAAATGAATTTGAATTAAGTTTATTTAGTACACAAAGTGATAGTACACAGAGCAATGAACAGTTTATTGATGTGATAAACAATTGTGTTGCTGAGACAATTAAAGTAAACACTTCAACATTAAAATCTCTGTCTCTTCATGATGTCTCGAACACTAGCAAGTATTACCCAATGTATAAAACAGTTGTTAGTAACCTACCTAGTATGATCGATCTTGTAGCAATAAGTATGAGTGGTATAACAATGAGTCATGATGATACTTCTACATTTTGTAATTTTCTTGAGGGAACCAGTCATCTTGAACAAATACATCTTGAGTCTGTTGAATGTAAGTGTTGGAAGCAGCATGATGTAAATTTATCAAAACATCAACAACTTCAGTACCTTTATTTGTGTTATACTGTTAGTGTGATAGATGTTGATACTACAAACCTTGAAATATTTAGATTTGGAAAATTGAAAGATAGTAATTATGTGAAAATATTTGATATTATTAGAAAATCTAACAAATTAAAAGAACTTGAATTGTATGGAGAATATACCAATAAATCTCAATTATATCATACCAACATAACAAAGAGACTTGTCACAGTATTACCATTGTTACACAATCTCAGTAAGCTTGAGTTAGAGTGGTGTAGGTTAACTGACAATATAATACAGTTACCTTTAGAGATGAAGAGTTTAAAAAACATTGAGCTTAAGTATGTCATAATGAGTTTGACAACATGGCAGAAGTTTGTTGATAGTCTTCCTGGTATTCCTCATACTGTAGATGTGAGTGTAAAGTACTGGTATATATCAGGAGATGGTGAGGAGTTAAATGATGATAGGTTAACATTGACATCACTAGTACTTAGAGGAGGGAAGGGAAATGATGCTATACAGTATGTAAAAGACCAGGATCAGTTATTTCATGTTAAACGTGATTATGATTATTGGTTTGAATTTTCAACAAAAAAGTGATAAAAGTGTCCATTTAGTATACATGAAGTTAACATATAGTGTTAAAAGTAAATTATTGCGTGTTAAAAGAGATGATAACTTGGATTTTCATTTTCAACAAAAAAATGATCTGAATTTTTAACATAGTGAGAGAGAATACATACAGTGCTTAATTTAAATTATTATTTCATAATTATTAAAATAAATATTATCAGCAAAATGAAAAAAAAATACAAAAGTTACATATTGATATGTTAAATAATGAATGTAATACAATATGATAGATAACAATCATCAAAAACAGTTCATTAAATATCAATTTCTGATCATTGTAGTAATATTGAAATTGATGAAAGTAATATTCAGATGTGTATTTAAGTAAATAATTGAAAGAAATGCAGTGAAATATAAAGAAAATTAAGGTAACTTTTTTTTTTTAAAGATAAGGGATAGTTTGTGAAAAGTATAATTTGAAAAAGTGTTAGGTTCTTTGAATTATAAATACATAAATAGATAAATAGATTAGCAAGTAAATAAATTAATGAATAAGTAAATATAATAAGTAATTTGAATGGAAATATCATAAAACAGAAATTTTATGTACAAGGTCAGAAAATGTAAAAGATAAGTATAACTTTCAAATACCAGTTATATTATATAATATATGATAGGATAAAGGAATGGTATATGTAATTACCAGTTATATGAGAAATATGTCAAGAGAATGGTATATATGAATACCAGTTATATGATATAAAGGACAAGGGAATGGTATATATGAATAAAAATTATATGATTTTTAGGCCAATGGAATGGTATATATAAATACCAGTTATATGATATATAGGACAAGGGAATGGTATATATGAATACCAATTATATGACATTTAGGCCAATGAAATGGTATATATAAATACCAGTTATATGATATATAGGACAAGTGTTTGGTATATAAAAATACAATATATGTATATTATATGTTAAATATGCAAAGGAAATGGTATATATCAATACCAGTTTTAAGATGTAAAGGAAAATGGAATGGTATAAATGAATACCAGTTATATGTTATATAAAGCAAAGGAATGTTATATGTAAATTCCTGTTATACAATATTTAGACAGTAGAATTATTTATATCAACACCTGTTATATGATATATAGAACAATGAAATGGTATATATAAATACCTGTTAGATGATATATAGGACAATGAAATGGTATATATCAACACCAGTTATATGATATATAGGACAATGGAATGGTATAATAAATACCTGTTAGATGATATATAGGACAAGTAAATTGTTTCATTGAGATGAGGACCATTTACATGTTATATTTTAGACATTCCTTCTTTGATTGTTTTATATTGTAAAGATTGTAAAAATTTACAAATTGTAATTATGGAAAACCATAAATGTGTACAAGTTAATACTGTTAGTCAGTATTATTCAAACAGTATCGTTAAAGGGACTCCACTGAGGATAATATTTTCTTAATTTCTTGACATGATAGGACGGGAGTTATGTTGTTGAGGTTTCATACTATTTGAAGAAGATAATAAAATTATTACTTTTCATGTATAAAATTTGTATGCAAAATTTCAGATTATTTGCTCACTTTGTTTTTCCAAAATACTAGTAATCATTTTAGCTCGACTATTCAATGAATAGCTAATGCTATAATAGTACTTACCGCATTGGCGTCAAACTTAGGTTACTTTTATGTGTGCAAGTTCGTATCTAAAAAACTACTGAATGAAAATTTCAATTTACATTCTTGTTCTTTAACATGACTAACACAAATCCCATACCTCTGATATTTTTTTCCCTCATATTTATTCCCCTTTTACGACTTAAAAAATCTTGGTTAAGTTTATACGTATAAGAGTGGATTAGAACTTCACACACACACATGAGAGTAATAGGAAGTTACTGTCTGAGCACATAGATATTTGACAGAATTATTGCCCTTTTTGAGGTTAGAAAATTCTGCATTATCCATCACTGTGGATAGTCAAGCACACTGTCCTGTCGACAGTGTTTAAATGTTTATAGCTAAAGTCCGTCTGAAAATTACACTTCATTAATATTGCTTTTCAATTTTATTCCGGGTATATCTCTTTAATAAAAACATGTTATACACCATAGATGTAAATATGAATTTTAGCTCCCCTCACCTGTCACAAAGTGACATAGTGAGCTATTGTGATCGCTTTTTGTCCAGCGTCCGTCCGGCGTAAATTTTTACTTTAAACGACATCTCCCCATAAACCACTAAACCAGTTTCATTAAAACTTCACAAGAATGTTCCTTTGGTAGTCAACTTAAAACTTCTTCAAAGAATTTAATTCCATACGGAACAGCCATGGCAACAGAAAGAAAAAACATAAAAATTTTCTTATAGAAAAACTGATAGATATTAACTTATTATTATTATTAACTTCTTAAGATAGAGCTTAAATATTTGGCATAACACATTGTCTAGTCAGTGTCTACCAAGTTTGTTCAAATTATTCCCAACGGTCAAAAATATGGGGGGGAGTCATTGATTTTCTTTATACATACCAGTTCTCAGCTGCCCCTTGGGAATATATACAAGTTTTCAGCTGCCCCTTGGGGATATATACCAGTTCTCAGCTGCCCCTTGGGGATATATACCAGTTCACAGGTGTCCCTTAGGGATATATACCACTTCACAGGTGTCCCACGAGGATACAAACAAGTTCTCAGCTACCCGTCGGATAAGTTCTCGGCATAAGTCAGTTCTCAGGGATATATACCTGTTCTTGACTGCCCCTAGGGGGATATATATAAATTCTCGGTTACCCCCAGTGGGTGGAATGTATTCCAGTTTTCATCATAAGTCACTTCTCAGTTGCCTATCAGGGATATAATAAGTCTCAGCTATACCTGAGGGATATATACCAGCTCTCGGATGCCAATATGCTCTCTCACACAGACAGCCATGTTTATTAAGTTTATATACTATCAAATGTTTATTTTCATAGATAATTTCTGTAACGGTTGAATAAGATTTTTTAGCTCACCTGACCACGAAGTGGTCATGGTGAGGTATAGTGATGGGGCTATGTCCGGCGTCCGTCGTCGTGCGTCGTGCGTCGTTCGTCGTCAACAATTGGGTTGTTAACAGTCTAGCAGTCACAGTTTTGATTGGATCATCATCAAACTTTGTCAGAATGTTTGTCTCAATGAAATACAGATCGAGTTCGAAGATGGGTTATCTCGGGTCAAAAACTAGGTCACAGGAGCTAAAAATAGAAAAAGCTTGTTAACAGTCTAGAGGCTGCAGTTTTCATCCAAATATTCTGGAAATTTGTCAGGAAGGTTGTTTTTGATGATATCTAGGTCAAGTTCGAAGATGGGTCATCTCCGGTCAAAAACTAGGTCACAGGAGCTAAAAATAGAAAAAGCTTGTTAACACTCTAATAATTGGGTTGTTAACAGTCTAGCAGTCACAGTTTTGATTGGATCATCATCAAACTTTGTCAGAATGTTTGTCTGGATGAAATACAGATCGAGTTCGAAGATGGGTTATCTAGGGTCAAAAACTAGGTCACAGGAGCTAAAAATAGAAAAAGCTTGTTAACACTCTAGAGACTGCAGTTTTCATCCAAATATTCTGGAAATTTATTAGGAAGGTTGTTTTGATGATATCTAGGTCAAGTTCGAAGATGGGTCATCTCTGGTCAAAAACTAGGTCACGAGCTAAAAATAGAAAAAGCTTGTTAACACTCTAATAATTGGGTTGTTAACAGTCTAGCAGTCACAGTTTTGATTGGATCATCATCAAACTTTGTCAGTATGTTTGTCTCAATGAAATACAGATCGAGTTCGAAGATGGGTTATCTCCGGTCAAAAACTAGGTCACAGGAGCTGAAAATAGAAAAAAGCTTGTTAACACTCTAGAGGCTGCAGTTTTCATCCAAATATTCTGGAAATTTGTTAGGAAGGTTGTTTTAATGATATCTAGGTCAAGTTCGAAGATGGGTTATCTCCGGTCCAAAACTAGGTCACAGGAGCTAAAAATAGAAAAAGCTTGTTAACACTCTAGTGGCTGCAGTTTTCATCCAAATATTTTGAAAAATTGGTCAGGAAGGTTGTTTTGATGATATCTAGGTTAAGTTCGAAGATGGGTCATCTCCGGTCAAAAACTAGGTCACAGGAGCTAAAAATAGAAAAAGCTTGTTAACACTCTAGTGGCAGCAGTTTTCATCCACATATTCTGGAAATTTGTCAGGAAAGTTGTTTTGATGGTTTCTAGGTCAAGTTCAAAGATGGGTCATCTCCGGTCAAAAACTAGGTCACAGGAGCTTAAAATAGAAAAAGCTTGTTAACACTCTATAGGCTGCAGTTTTTATCCAAATATTCTGGAAATTTGTCAGAAAGGTTGTTTAGATGATATCTAGGTCAAGTTCGAAGATGGATCATGTCTGGTCAAAAACTAGGTCACAGGAGCTAAAAATAGAAAAAGCTTGTTAACACGCTAGTGGCTGCAGTTTTCATCCAAATAATCTGGAAATTTGTCAGGAAGGTTGTTTTGATGATATCTAGGTCAAGTTGGAAGATGGGTCATGTCCGGTCAAAAACTAGGTCACAGGTGCTAAAAATAGAAAAAGCTTGTTAACACTCTAGTGGCTGCAGTTTTCATCCAAATATTTTGGAAATTTGTCAGGAAGGTTGTTTTGATGATATCTAGGTCAAGTTCGAAGATGGGTTATCACCGGTCAAAAACTAGGTCACAGGAGCTAAAAATAGAAATAGCTTGTTAACACTCTAGTGGCTGCAGTTTTGATTAAAATATTCTGGAAATTTGTCAGGAAGGTTGTTTTAATGATTTCTAGGTCAAGTTCGAAGATGGGTCATGTCTGGTCAAAAACTAGGTCACAGGAGCTAAAAATAGAAAAAGCTTGTTAACACTCTAATGGTTGCAGGTTTCATCCAAACATACCACTTGCCCCTCACCGCTGTGGGTTCGAATCCCGACAGGGACTTTGGATTCTTACATGTGAGGAAGCTATCCAGCTAGCTTACGGAACGTCGGTGGTTCTACTCAGGTGCCCGTTCGTGCCTGAAATAATACACGGAAGGGCACCTGAGGTCTTCCTCCACCAGTAAAGCTGGAACGTCGCGATATGGCCTATACTGTGTCGATGTGACGTAAACCCCAAAACAAACAAATCATCCAAACATTCTGGAAATTTGTCAGAAAGGTTGTTTTGATGATTTCTAGGTCAAGTTCGAAGATGGGTCATCTCAGGTCAAAACTAGGTCACAGGAGCTAAAAATAGAAAAAGCTTGTTAACACTCTAGTGGCTGCAGTTTTCATCTAAATATTCTGGAAATTTGTCAAGAAGGTTGTTTTGATGATATCTAAGTCAAGTTGGAAGATGGGTCATCTCCGGTCAAAAACTAGGTCACAGGAGCTAAAAATAGAAAAGCTTGTTAACACATTAGGGGCTGCAGTTTTCATCCAAATATTCTTGAAATTTGTCAGGAAGGTTGTTTTGATGATGTCTAGGTCAAGTTCAAAGATGGGTTACCTCCGGTCAAAAACTAGGTCACAGGAGCTAAACATAGAAAAAGCTTGTTAACACTCTAGTGGCTGCAGTATTGATTCAAATATTCTGGAAATTTGTCAGGAAGGTTGTTTTGATGATTCTAGGTCAAGTTCGAAGATGGGTCATCTCAGGTCAAAAACTAGGTCACAGAAGTTAAAAATAGAAAAAGCTTGTTAACACTCTAGTGGCTGCAGTTTTTATTCAAATATTCTGGAAATTTGTCAAGAATGTTGTTTTGATGTTTTCAGGGTCAAGTGCTAAGATTGGTCATGTCCGGTCAAAAACTAGGTTACAGGAGCTAAAAATAGAAAAATCTTTTTAACACTCTAGTGGCTGCAGTTTTTATCCAAATTTCCTGGAAATTGGTCAGGAAGGTTGTTTTGATG